ATGTTCTTAAGTAACCTTATACTATATAGTTTCAAAAATATTTCTATAAATTTTTATAATATTTAAATAGTTATTAAAAAAATTATATTAAAAAAACCAATTTCAAAAATTTATGACTCATATTGTATATTATAAAATATTATTATAAAGATCAATTTTAGTCACTTCAATTATCTGCTATTACTGATTCTTAAAATATATTACTAGTATAATAAACGTATACAAAAAATTATAATCAAGAATTATATATATTTTTTATTGAAAATATTTTTTTATTAATTTAAAAATAAAATGTTTTAAATAGTTTTTTATAATAAAATTGAGAGATATATTTTTAATAACACTATTATTTAAAGATTTTAATTTTTTTCTATTTGTTTTTTTATTAAAAATATAAAAAAATAAAATATCAAATTTTTTAAAATACTTTATTGATAATTTTTTATTTCAAAAATTGTAATTTGTAAACAAAAACAAATTTGAATAAAAATTTTTTATAAATTTATATACAAATTATAATTGAAAAAAAAAATTTTAAAAAGTTTTTTAAAAAAAAATTATTTAATTAATAAAAAATTATGAAAATATTTATTATAATATATGGATTAATTTTATAAAAATTTTAAATTTTGATTAATTAAATGATTTAAATTTAATTTTAAAAAAAAAAAAATTCAAAAAATTTTTTATTTCAATTTAATAAAAATCTTTTTTTATTATTAAAATATTTAAATTATAAGAGTATATAGTAATAACCAAATTATTATAAGATTATTAAGATAATAGTAAGTTTTATTATAAGTATACTTTAAATATTTTTGGTTAACAATAAAACAATAAAAATTAAATAATTTTTTAATTGTGAATAATTAAATTAAAGCTTGATTTAAATAGTTTTTTTAACTGTAAATAATTAAATTAAAGCTTGATTTAAAAAAGTTTTTATTTATCCATATAAATTTTTTACCTTTTAAGATTACAATATTATATTAAGATAATAATATTTTAAAATTAAAGTTTTGATATCTACGTTTTTTAAAAAAAACAAGTCTTTTATTTTTTATAATCAGGTTTAAAAATTAGAATTTGAATAATCTTAAATAGTTAATATTATACAATAAGAATTTAATAAACTTATTTTTCTTGTAATAAAATAATTAATGAAAGTTATGTTATGTAGACAATATAATAATTATAATATTAAGAATTCAAGAATTAAGTACGGTAAATAAAATATAAATCCTAAAAAATTATTATAGATAAAATTTATAAGCAATATTTATATATACTGTATATAATATATCAAATTTTATATGATTAATTCAAAATTTGTTTAATTTAATGTGTTTAGTGAACACGTTATAGTTTATTAAAAATATTCAAGTAAATATTGACTTTACAAAAATGAAATGTCATTCGTAAAAAAAACTTGTGACAATTGAATATGATTTTATTACACTAAAGTTAAGATAATGGTATTGTAAAAAGGAATAATTAAATTTCGGTAAATGGGATGATATTAACGGGATAATACTGAAAGAAATTTGGTCATAAGAAAATAAAGAAAGATTTGTTTAAAAAATTTGTAGATGAAATTGATTTTATTACACTTCTTTACATTGTTAAGTTTGAATACTGAAATATATGCAATTTAAATTCACGATGTCATACGACAAAGTCTCAACATTATATTGTTTTTAATTTGGATTAATTATCGGGCTTGGACGGCATTCCTCATTTTACTAAATTCCTCGAGCGTAGCAATCTGTTTTGGATTTGTTATTCTTAGAAAAAATAAAAGTGATAAAAAACAAATAATGATATCGACAAGTTAATAACGTACCCTTATGTGAACAGAGTCAGAATCGGATCTCGAAAAGTTATGATGCAATGTTAATCCTCTGTTAAAGTCATGTAAGCAATTAAGATTTGACATACCGACAACTCAAAGACAAAATTAAAAAAAAAAAAAGTAACTCACTCAGTATTAATCTCGTCACCAATGACACCCCAGTTGCCATTACCAGCCCCTAACTTTTTTGGCTGACCACGGATATCGGTCAATGAACCCCTGCTTTTGATGATAGATAGCAAAAATAATTATTACTCTGTCGAATGAAAAAAAACACCATTAAATACCTACCGTTGATGTCTTTCGTGTCTCTTATTGTTTATCATTGTGTAAGTTTTGATTTAAAAAAAAGTAATTACGAATTATGTTATTATATTTCTTTTTTGTGCGAATGGAAGCATGAATCGACTCTTTTTATAAGTTTTTGCACCATTATCGAGAAAACCTTTCGAGAATATCAAATCAATATAAAATGTCACGCGACGTCATTTATTTTATGATTCATCAAGGATTATCATGCGTTTTTAGTTCCCACGCAATTCATTGAATAAAGTGGTTCCACTCACAGAATTGTATAAATTAACTTTTTTTTTTCCATGCAATTCTGAGTGGCTGGCAAAAATACCATTTGCGACCTCACAAGCCAGATATGACGCAATGAACTCTGTTCACATAAATATGACTCATAATTGTTTGATTGTTATGGGGAGAAGTCATGTGCTCCATACATTTATTTGTTTGTATAATTATTAAAGATTAAAGTTATTAATTGTATCAATTTAACAGGATTCGTGAAGTCCTTAATAATTTTCTATGAAACCTTGTGAACATGATAATAATTTTTGTACTGCATAACTCTTTATTTCCGCAATTTGTAACAATTTCTGAAGGTTAAATGCATTCTATGAAACAATAATAAGTTGTCAGAGCTAACATACATATCATAAGCTGCTCTATTAAAGATTCCAATAACCATTCTGGACTTGACTAGCAATATTCGTTAAATGAATTGGTCGGCACTAATACTAAATATAATAAGGATTACCAGAATCATCAGATATCCAATAGCGCACCGATCACTGATAAACTATTAATGGAGTCGCATCATCACAAACTTTTGTTAGAAATTATAATGTACACGTATGTGTCATACGATGGTGTATATTAAAGAGTGACAAATACGTTACTCGTGTTATTATTGACCATCGAGAAATAATTCTATTCCGACCTCAAAAAGAATTAAAAGATATGATCTCGAAACACGAGGAGACGTGGGAAACCATGTGCTACATTATTTGGCATGAGAGTAACTCTATATTAATCTCGAGAGCGTAAAGAGTAGAGACATATCCCTATTTGACTATCAAGAATTATTCTATCTGACCCAAGAACAATTAATAATATCTGTGATGATTCTTTAACAACATTCTCAACAGATAACGGTTGGTTAGAAAAAAGGAACTAGAGACTTGATATATTTTATATGCAAATATCGTGTCATGTAAAATAATTACGTGTTAAATCTTATTTAACGATATTATTGGTTTTGTTTCTTTTAAAAATTCTTTGTGATACCATGTTAACAAATAATATTTAAGCTATATTAGTTTGTATACTATGTGTATTATTAAACTAGTGTATAATTATGTCAAATTAACAATATTAAATTAATATAATAATTGGATAACTATATATTTTTCAAATCACAACTTTTTTGATTAACACAGTACAATAATTTGAAGATATTTGACAAACATTATTTTATTTTTAACTGGGCTGTTGACCTGCCGTTATATTGTTCTTTATCAAATATCATTTGATCATCAGTGCCTTTCTTGATATTGGCATAATCTAGATTGGTAGCCTATTTGTAAGAAAGAATCAAGTCATAAAGTTAAAAAAAAAATTGTTAAAAAGGTTTTTACTTGTGGAACAAGATTTTTTTTTATCCTTTTTATAAGTTGGATCAATTTAGCAAAAATCATAATATGAATTTACTTACTTGATATAAGTTGATACTATAATAGTAATTATAAAAAATTACAATTAATTTATTAAATAAAAATTGTTAATATATTGATATTAATTATTGATATTAATTTATCAATTAATAAAAATCTTGTTCTAATATCTTTTTGTTTTTATCTAATAAAATATTTAAAATATTTGAATTTTTATTTTGTAAAAAATAAAAATTTTCAATAACAACATTAAAAATATCTTAAAAATAGCAATTAAAAGTTTACTTTAATTAGATTTTTCTATAAATAGAAAAATTGTATTGTAATTATCAAGGCAAATTTTATTAAAAAACAATAATAAATTATATATATAATTAAATATATGGTTTAATATTTACAAGAAAAAAACAAAAAAATATTAAAGGCTATTGACAAAAACAACTATATTGTTTTAAAAAAACAAGATTTTTTTCAAGTATTATTAATATTTTTTATAATATAAACTTAATAATTTTATAAAGATTTTTGATTTTTAATACAAGATATTAAAAATATATTTCTTTTAAAATTATAAAAAAATTTTTTATAAAATATAATTTTTTATAATAGATTAATTTTTTAATACTAATTTATTATATTTTTTAAATTTTACAATACAAATTATTTTCTTATTGATAATTTGTCAATCTGATTAAATATTATATTGTAATTAATATAAGAAATTATAATATATACTGTATATAACTAGTTAATTAAATAAAAATAAAATAATAAAAAGTTATATGGATTATTAATATTAATATTAAAAATAATTATATGTTTAAATAAATTTTGCAAAAAATATTAATAATTATTTTTATAATAATAATTAATAAAAATAAAACAAATATTGTATTTTAAAATTATAAAAAAATTAATTTTGACAGTAAATAAAATATTGTATATAAGAATAATAAAATTAATTATCAAATAAAAAAATTTTTTAAAATTTAAAACTTAAAAAAAAATTTTTTTAATTTGAAAATTATTAAATTTTATTTTAAATATATAATAAATTGAAATATTTGAATAAAGAATAATCAAATCATATTATAAATTAATAAATATATAATTTATATTTAACTACTTATTTTATATATTGTACAAAAAATTTAAAATTTAAAAAAATTAATTATTTGTTATTTTTTAATTATTAAAAATAAAAATAAATATTATATAATATTAAAATTATCTATAAATAATTTATTATTTAAAAAAACAAATATATTTTTTTTATTTTTTAATATTTAAAAGTTTTTTATATATTTTTGATTTTTATTATAAAAATTTTAAAAAAATTAAAAAAATATATTAATATATTAATATAAAATCTCTAGTTAAAAAAAAAAGCATATTTAAAAATCTTGTTTTTTTTTAATTATATAAAAAAAGATTTATGACAACTATTTTTTTATAAATTTTTTTTAAAATTCTTTTTATTTTTCTTTTCATCAATATATAAATATCATTAAATAAAAATAATTTTTTTGAAAAATTATTTTTTAATTCAAAAAATCAAACTTTATACTAAAATTGTTTATATTATTTATTGATTTAAGACATTAGTATTATATATAATATTTATTTCTTAATATTACTTAACATATTTTGTTATATAATAAAATAAAATAAAAATAAAAATAAAAAAATTTTTATCAAAAAATTATACTTTCATTAATTGATTATTACTTTAAACTTAATCAATTAAATATTATCAAATATAAAAACAAATCTGTATAATTAATATACCATATTGTACAATATTTAATATTAAATAAAAACCTATTTTGACAATAATAATTAAAACAAAATTATACTATTGATAAATAAATCAATTATTAAATCAATTATTAATTATAATAATACAATAATACCAACAACTATAATAATAAATAATGATTTAAGTAATTATCAATAATATTATTATATAATTTAATTAATAGTTTGACTATTTTAAAGAGTAACATTCTAATTTTAGATATTTTTTATATAATAATAAATCTTTTTTATATTTTCTCTTTGGTTATTACAAATTCAAACAATAATAATACCATTATATTTTAGAGGAATGAAATCATTATAATAGACAGTTTTATTTTCTTTGTATTAGGACACCGTATTTGTAAGCTAACCCTAAATAATAATAATAATTGTTATCTTCGAAAAATAATTTCTCATATAGATTTTATTATGTATAAACAAATTTTCTTAATAAAAAATTTTGTTATAACCATTAACTCATTAACTTTAAAATGAATGGGAACTCTTTCAAAACATTGTATTATTAAAACTTGGAGGCGAAAAAAAAATATGCCCCGGAATTGATATCTTTATGCTGATCGTTGATATCACGTTTATGATTTGAATCATTCATGTGTCTTTCGCTTTTTTGCTTATTACGCAAATAGATGCTTAATTCGTTCTTTATAGCTCCGCTCGAGTGGAGTGATTTGTGGTATTATGTGCATAAAGTTGTTATGATATATAAGAATATCGCGTCTACTTAAAGATCGATGTTTTCTTTCCGCCATCCAGTTTAATAAAGGTTTTCCTAAAAAGCAACGTTTTTTTTCACGCGAAAATCAAATCTTTGAACCTTCAGTCAATTTTAATAAAAGAAAGATGCTTAGTCGAAAATTTATAAGCCTATTTATCATTACATTTTCACTCTTTTATTTTGTCGAAGTTGTAAACTGCCAAATGCCCGCAGGAACGCCATCAGATCCTGCCATTATGCCGGGCAACGAACGACCGCAAAAACGTCCACTTGGTGACAGAAAAGCGGGAGGACAATCACCGCCTGCTTTAAATAATCAGCAACCACCGATGCCGCTTCCGCAACAACAGCCTCAACCGCAACCGCAAAATGCGGGACAAGCCATAGCACAATCTCCCCCGGCTCCATCAGCGGCGCATCTACCTGACCCTAGTCAAACCTCATCATCTGATACGAAGCCTACTGCGCAGCAGAAAAACTCTCCTACGGAAACAGTGAAATCTAGCGGATTAAAGAATGGGTCACCAAGTCGTGAAAATCCAACTACTTCAAATGGAAGCAGATTTGAAAGAGGTCATAGCTTAATAGCAATTTACAGTATGATTGTTGGATTGTTTGCTGTAATGGCTGCGATGATGCTTTTGTAATGGAAATGAAACCAAATAAAATATAACACATTTCCCTAGTGCGACTATGTTAAGGACACGAGTAATTAAAAATAAGATCGATTGTAAAATTAATAATCTATAATTAATAAAACAATATAGTATAATAAATTAATAATGTCGTTTATTAGTTTATTGCTGTTTACTGTTATGTCTTGGTTTTTTTCTTTAAGAGTTAGAAAACGGGAACCGTTGAATTATCCAGAAACGCGTGCGGATTCAGTAAAATGTCCTACGCTATGCCTCGGATAATAAAGTCTAAAGTCTAAAGAGTATAGGGAGTTTATAGTTTGAAAAGTATTTAATAAATAATTATTACAAATTTTTACTTTTTAGATTCCATTGTCCAATAACTAATAATAATATTCTTCATTTATAATCATTAATTACAATAAAATAAAATATTTGAAAATATAAAAAACAGGTTTTTTAAAAAAATTTATTATCTTAATAATTATTAAATTTTGATTTGCAAAAAAATAATTTTTTAACAAATATCAATAAACCAATGTTTTTGATTATTATACAATATATATACAGTACATTTAATCTAATTTACAGTAAAATTACGATTTAAAAATTAAAATAATAATTAGTTTGTTATTTTTTAAATTTTCTATATGCTTTATTTTTTAAATTTTTAATCTTATTAATTTTTAAATATTTTTTGGGAGGTTTTTTTTTTTCTCCGAATGGTTCACGGAATGATCCATTCAGATTTCCAGTTTGATTGACAATCCATACTTTTTTAATCATTCGATTAATCTAAATCAAATGATTGACATAAGTACCCGCAGGTCAAATTACATATTAACTATTTAAATTATTCATTCTACTCTATATAATAATCTATTATATACAGTTAGGATTAAAGTAATTGATTCGGTAAATTTCTTCAAATTCGGAAATCCGGAACTTCGGCTCTTTCAAATATTTCTCTTAACAATTCTCTTTTCAAGTGATCTTCATCATCAATATCCGCCTTTTCCGAATTAATATCATTCCCGCTCTGAACTCTTAATTTAGCACAAATATCCTTGAAATTCTTATTCTCTTTGACCTCATCAAATTTTTTAACCACATAGGAAATAATGAGTTCTTTCAGGTCGTCCCACAACCATATGTCAATGCCGAATAACATCTCAATCGCATTTTTTGGTGTCAAATCTTTGAATATCCTGGTTTTTGCTCTATCTCTTAAATCAGTTATCAAGTACTTATCAGCTATCATAAAAATATCTATTGGTCTACGATATAACGAAGACGAATGGAAATCTATACTATCGGTATATAAGAATCGTAGCATCGATTTAAATGTTTCGGGATGAAAATCGGAAACAGTAACCTTATATTTTTTGGACACATCGGGCTTTTTTACTGATGACACTTCGAGTCGATTGTCGCTTTGTGATAGTATAGCCTTGCTCGTTATGTTTTTTTCAGTATTTGCCAATGGTAATTTTTCTGAATTCAAAGAGTTGATTGATTCTTCTGTGTTTGATGAATTCGCGCTGGTGTTTTCTTCTAACCGTTTTAACCTATTAAAATCCATGGGCTCCTGGGTTTTGTTTCTAAACTTCCTGTAAAATTCCAGATTTTTAAACTTTTCAATAAATCTGATTTGCTGTTCAGTCTTCATATCCTTTACTGATTCTGACCATCTTCCTTGGTGAAACATTGAATTAAAGTAAATTGAACGTTCAGACAGAATCGAACTACTCGCGTATAATGTTTGACATTTTGTTCCTTCACAGTTGGTGAAATCAAATTGTACGTCTGATATTTCGGGTTTATTTAGTTCGGCCTTCCATGCTTTAGTTAGATTTGAAGGGGTTTGTAATGATGGAAGAGGCGTTGTAATTCGCTCGGAGTCATATTGAACTTTATTAAATTTTACACCAATTGTCACCTCTCCTTCTTGGGGTAATCTGTCCTTTTTGCAGAATTTAGAAAAACCTAAATAATCAAATTTGCGAAATGTATTTACAAAAGTCAATGAATTTATATATTGTACAATAAAGCTTTTAAGCTAACGGATAGGAACATACCCCACACAGGTGATTTAGCATTATAATTCTTTAATTCTCCAAAGTCTAACTTTTCGTCAGGATTTTTCATGAAATATGTGACGGAATATTCGGCGCGCGTTAGCCATGTTTCTGCCGAATATTTTTCTTGTTTGTTGGGTATAGCTATTAACCAAAGTGCGCAATAATCTTTATGATCCTTACTTTCCTATATTTTTTTAAAAAAATTTGGGTCAGTTTTTGTAGTAGTCGTGCTTCCATACGATAAATTACGAATAAAACTTACCGGGTGAAATTTCAATTGCCAGAACATATCGGATGCAGTTGCGAACGGTGGTGCGTATATTGATTTTTGTTCTTTCAATAATTTCGCAGGAATTTTAAATTTGAAGCTAACTTTGTCGTTCACGGGAGCTGCCTTTGTCATCTTTGATATGAGGTTTCGTCAAAGTAAAAAAATTCGGAATAACAGGTTTCTATGGTCGGATATTTATTATAATTATGTATGTACTGTGTGATGATTATTTACTGTGAAACACGCACCAGAGTATACTGCAGACGCTTTAGATTTTATGCAACACAAAAATGAAATTTTGTCGTCGATGAAGCAAAGAGGAGAGTTCCCGTTTTATATAGTTTTAGGCGTTCGTTTAAAATTTTTTAAATGACGAATAAATGGAGATAATGTGTTTATTGAATTCCTTTATTAACTCCGTCATTATAACAAAGCTTCAGGCACGTCCGATGTATATAATGCATGTGGCTTTTTGGTTTAAACAATTAGCTCCTAGTCAAAATTTTTTGATTCTGTACCAATTCTAGATGGAAGTTGATCTAGGATAGTATTCATTATTAAAATTCCATTTTTAATGAACAACCATAAATAAACTTTCTATCGAAATAAATTCATGAATATTTGTTGCTCATGTGATATGTTCTAGAATGTCCAAGTGCATATTCTGTATCACGAATAGAATTGTCAATTCCGGAATATGTATTAGCCTACATCGGATTTTTTTCGGGTGTTTACTCAACACTTACGGGAAAGTGATACTTTATGGAAATTTTTGTCAGCATAAACAACGAAAAGCGGATCTCAAAATGGTCTTATTGTGAAATAAAAATATAATGAGGGTTATTATCATGTGATGATAGGTAAAACTGGAGTTTTATAGATAATTCGGTGTAGAAAAAAATATTATCAGTTACTGTACAGTAAATATCGTATATTGTGTATCAAATCGCCTGATTCGAAGTTGGCTACAGATAGACTCGCCGTTTAACCTGCTACGAACATTGTCCAATGAATACATAAATGTTAATTTAAATAATATGGCGCATCGCGCATTTTCCAAGCATTGTTACTTTGGCTGCTATAAATAAATGGACATTTTTATTATAGACAATTGTTTTTTGAAGTCAATAATATTTTTAAACGTGATTTTGAAATAAAAAAGTATTTCTCCTTTGGGAAATATCGATTTTCAAATAAAATTTTAAAACTCGTTGCTAATTGACCATTTGTAATAAAAAAATATTTAAAAATAAAATAAAAATTTGTAATACTATTCTTAACAATATTATTTATAACAAGAATATCTTTAAATTAAAAATATTTGAAATATATAATTAAATTTTAACAAATATGATTTAAGAATGAACATCAATTAAAAATTATTTTTAAATTTTTTGATTACAAAAATAACTCTTTTTTATATAATTCCAAACTAGCTAATAAAATAAAATTATAAAATTTAATTTTCAATGGTTTAAAAATTCTTTTATTGTTAAAAATAAATTAAATAATAATCATGTATATACATGTATATGATTTTTTGGATTTTTTTTAATAAAAGCAATATATATATATTGTTAATTTATTTAATAAATCTTAAAATTAAATAGATTAATAGTTCACAATAATAGAGATTTATTTAATTTAAAAAATAATCTCAGTTGTAATATTAGTAATATTAATAAGATTTATTTACAAGACAAAAAACATAATGATCTGATTTAAAATTTTAAAAATGGTTTTTATTAAAAAGTTAGAAAATTCTTTTAATAATTAAAAAAAACAATTGTTTTATTTATATATATTTGAAAGATATAAAAATAAAAGTAAACAATAAACAAAATATATCAATTCTATAAATTAATTATCATCTTAAATAATAAAATATATTACATTAAAATTTTATATAATTTTATTTAATACAGTATTTTAAAAATTATGTTAAAAAAATTTTATTTTTTTTATTTTTTTTTATAGTGGAACATATACACAGCATATGATCTTTATTGATATATTTATATATCTAGACAGATACCAAGTGTTTTTACAAATTAATCAAAAATCGGTTAATATATTAAATACTCTTTATGTCTCTATAGCTAATCTGTAGATTAATATTGTTTAGTATATATATTGCTATAAGATTAGTTATATTAACCATTATTATTTAATTATACATTTATTTAAATACTTAGAAGTATATCCATACATCAAGTGAAACTTTCTGCAAAAGGGAAAATCCTATTACTAGTTTAAACTTGTCTAATTTACTAAGTCCATTATTGCAGGAAGCAAATATTTATGAAATATTATTATAGAAACTAACTTCAGTATTCCAATTACTATTATCACTTGATCCCTAAGATATATTATTAGTATAGTGTTGTAC